TGTTCTGCTCTCTCTGTCTCCTGTATTCCTCACTGTTCTGCTCTCTCTCCCTCTGTCTCCTGTATTCCTCACTGTCCTGCTCTCCATGAGAGTCTCTCCACACTCCTGAGTATGTCTCTGCACTCCTATGTATCACTCTATCCTGTTGAATATCACTCTACACTCCTGGTTATCACCCTGCACTCCTGAGTACCACTCCACACTCTTGAGTATCACCCTGCACCCCTACGTACTACTCTACACTCCTGAGTATCACCCTGCACTCCCGAGTACCACTCCACACTGAGTACCACACGTCACCCCTGAAAATCAGCCTGCACTCCTGAGTATAGCCCTGCACTTGTGAGTATTGCTCCACACTGAGGTATCTCTTGCAGTTCTACCCCACAGACCCATTGCCTGTCTCCCTCCTGCGTGCCATACTGGTAATGACAACAACACCAGTGATCAGAGCGGTTTGCTCCGGTAGCAAGCAGGGACTCTCTGGGCACTCTAGTTGCACTCGAACAATGACAGCAGATGCCTTTGTGTTGCTCTGGACACCCACAGCCATGGCAACAGAGAGGAAGGTTGGGAGGGTGAGGTTAAAATAATCCACAGCTTCTACAGATCCCTCTCCCCCACTAACCCTCCATTTTCTTTCTCCTGTTTTTCTGGCTCTATCTGTTCAACATCTCCCTCCCTGTGCATCTTCCTGCCCCATCACTATGTTCTGAATGTAATTCTTCCCTTTTCTTGTGAGTAAAAACTGATGATAACTTTCTCTTCTCTGTGTGTATTTATTTGTGTAGAAGACATAGAAAAAAACATTTTCTTTCAGTTTTCCCCCTCCAATCTCTCCCTTCAGAGAGGGAGAGTGTCCCTTACCAGACTCAGTGATATCGCTCGGTCTGTGGCCTGAACAGACGGAGCACTTAATGAACGAGAGACCTGAGCCTGTCAGTCTGTCTGATTATTGCAGAGAGACCTGAGTCTGTCAGTCTGCCTGAGTCATTGCAGAGAGACCTGAGCCTGTCAG